TAGAGGAGTCTTCATCACAGGTAAGTTTGAAGGGAGCTCTGCTAGCTCGTGGAAGAGGGACGTGCCCCGATCCCCTGGTCACGGGGCAGGCTGTCACGCGAGCCGCCTTCTCTTAGCATCAGACACGGTAAAATCAGATGAAAATACCCCCCAGGGGGGCCCGGAAGGAAAACACGATGACGGAGCAACAGCCGGAGGGTGCGGGTGGGAGTGGAGGGTGCCGGGTCTGGGCACCAGAGGGCAGAGCCGCGGAGCCAGACGACGGGCCAGGTCACAGGCACTGGCGGCTTCGGATGCAGCGTGTGCTCTGTGCGAGGGGGCCTTTCACACTGTTCCCCATCTGTGGACCGGGAGAAGAACGGATTGGGGAACACAGGCTCGTAATGGGCTTGGGCCACCCTCTGGTATCATTACTCTTTTTAAATAGTCTTTATTTTTAAATTATAGTTGGCAGTAATACTTATTAATTTCAGGTGTGCGGCGGTGGTTAGACATGTATATAACTTACGGAGTGCCCCCCCCGATAAGTCCAGGACCACCTGACACTAGGCAGAGGTACCACGGCGTTACCGACTCTGTTCCCTGGGCTGTGCTTCGCATCCCGTGACTATTTTGTAGCTGCCAATTTGTACCTCGCGACCCCTCCCCGTTTTTCACCCAGCCCCTCCCCCGCCCATCTGACGCCCATCAAGATGTTTTCCGTATAACGAGTTTGTCTCTATTTTGTTTGTCCTCTTGTTTTGCTCCTCGGATTCCACACGTAAGTGAAGTCACGTGACATTCGTCCTTCTCCGTCTGACTCCCCCCCGGCACAGCACCCGCCGCGTCCGTCGTGCTGTTGCAGGGGCAAAGGTTCTTTCTTTTTCATGGCTGAGTCATATTCCGTTGTGCACATGCACCACCTCTTCTTTGTCCACGCCCCGGCCGTTGGACGCCCGGTCCCCTCCTCAGCTCGGCCACCGTCAACCAGGCTGCAGTGAGGGCACGGATGCACGTGTCCCTTCGAAGTGGCGTTTTGGGTTTCAAATACCCGGAAGTGGGATCACCGGGTCCTTCTTTGTCTGTTTTTATAGCCTTTGTTTTAAAGTCTATTTCGTCTGATATAAGTATTGCCACTCTAGCTTTTTATGTTTGTTTCCATTTTCAACATCTTTTTCATCTCTCTACTTTCAGTCTGTGTGTCTTTTGATCTGAAGTGAGTCTCTCGTAGGCAGCATGTGTGAGGGTCTGGTTTTCTTATCCATTCAGCCACCCGATCTTTGGATTGGAGCATTTCACCCTTTGACATTTAAAGTACTTGTTGATGGATATGTAGTTACTGACATTTTATTATTCATACATTCTATCTTTTTTTCTTTTCCCTTCTGCTGAAGTCCCTCCAGCATTTCCTGGCATGCTGGCTCGGTGGCGATGAACTCCTTTAGCTTCTTCTTGTCTGGGAAGCTCTTTATCTGCCCTTGGATTCTAAATGACAGCTTTGTTGAGTAGAGTCATCTTGGTTGTAGGTCTTGGCTTTTCGTCACTGAATATTTCGTGCCATTTCCTTCTGGCTGCAAAGTTTCTGTTGAGAAATCAGATGACAGTCTTATGCCACCCTACGTTATGACATTTTGGGTTTTAATTTTAAAATGTCATTATATTTATCAATGCCCTTGCAATCAAAATCTTTCGACAACGATTTCTGTTGAGTGTCAGGGAAAATCGAATGTCTGTCGAATGTTGGGGAATGTATACCTTTTGATCGTCAACTCTCGTTGTAACTTAAGAGA